GCTGCTCCCTTACCCAGTTTGTGGCCAAATCCCACTTTGAGGCTTTGCTTCAGTTTTCCCATTGCTGTTGCTGGCAGCAGGGTTTGCTTTCCTTCCCTGAGCCCCCAGGGGCAGCAGCCAGACCCAGCTGGGTCCCCTTTGCTGGACACCCTCTGGGCAGGTCACTTGCCAGGAAAGGACCTTGGAGTTCCTGCCCTGCCTCCTTCAGTCCCAGGCTGGAGGTGCTGGAAGCCACCTTTTAACTCAGAGATCACAGAGGGGGCTCCAGACCAAGAGAGAAACCAGAAGCCAAAGCTGGGACCACCTGAGCCGCCTGTCCCTGCCCCAGGTGAGGAGCAGTGTCCCAGGCAGGAGCCTCTGGCTCGGCTTTGAACAGCCACCAGCAGATTTCAGTTTCCTTGGTGATCACTGTCAGAGCTGAAACACAAAACTGAAATGAAAATAGGAACGTATCAGAAGTAATTATGTACATTCATGTTAATTATACACCTTCCCTTACAGTCTTTCATGGAGTTGGTTTTATGCTTTCTGCTGGATCTCTGCTTCTCAAGGACTGGCATGAACTGGTCAAAAGGATGAGCATTTAATCTTCCAGCGGTAGAGCAGACATTTTAATACTGAAGATTGTTTTATTCTTAGGGTATCTTCAACACAGGATATGCATCTTCCCAAGGACAAATAATTACTGCAACAGCCTAGAGCAATTTGTCAGGAGAATGACCCTGAGAGTAGTTAAAGTTCATAAGGTACAACATGAGTCACCATTACAAAATAACAGAACTATTTCTCTCAATGACAAGAGGTGAAAATCCAATAGCAAAGGGCTGTGAAATATTAGGACCCCAAGTAAATCAGGGATGAGTAGATGAGGGATTACAGTCGGTGCTCATTTGGGAAGCAAATGTGAGACGATGTGTTTTGAGTGCTTGAGAGAGAATTTGGTATCTTTGGTAACACAGCTATAAAGGAAGAACCTCCAAATAGTTTTCATTCCTTGCTGTAGTCATGGAACTCAAAAAGGCAATGAATAACGAATGAGTAATCCCAGGAAGCATTTAAGGACTCCACACTCCAAGTGCTGGGGGCTCAGGGAAGGTCCAGCAGGACACACAGACACAGGGAGAGCCCAGGGCAGGTCCAGCAGGACACACAGACACAGGGAGAGCTCAGGACAGGTCCAGCAGGACACACAGACACAGGGAGAGCTCAGGACAGGTCCAGCAGGACACACAGACACAGGGAGAGCCCAGGACAGGTCCAGCAGGACACACAGACATGGGGAGAGCTCAGGACAGGTCCAGCAGGACACACAGACATGGGGAGAGCCCAGGACAGGTCCAGCAGGACACACAGACACAGGGAGAGCCCAGGACAGGTCCAGCAGGACACACAGAAGGGATGGCAGTGCCCAGGATTCCAGGGCTGTGCTCACACCTGGAGCAGCTCTGTGCTGCTCAGCATCCCCACGGCCCCTGGGGGCTCTGGCCGTGCCCAGGACCCCGTGTCCCCCTGCCAGGGCACTGAGGCAGGTGAGTGACACAGGTGTGTGACACAGGTGTGTGACCTGGTGTGTGACACAGGTGAGTGACACAGGTGAGTGACACAGGTGTGTGACACAGGTGTGTGACACAGGTGTGTGACCTGGTGAGTGACACAGGTGAGTGACACAGGTGAGTGACACAGGTGAGTGACCTGGTGTGTGACACAGGTGAGTGACACAGGTGAGTGACCCCGGGGGTTTCTCCAGCCCTGCTGGCTGCACCCTGGGGCAGGACAGGAGCTGAGCCCCAGCTCTGTCCCTGCCCATCCTGCCCCGTTCCCAGGGCTCACCCCTGTGCCAGGAGAGCCCCAGCAGGGAGCTGCCCTGCTCCCCAGAGCTGCCCAGCACTGCCACTGCTGCCCCAGGGCTCTGATGCACTGCACACAATCACAGATATTATAGGGGACTGTATTTCATCCAGACAGGAAACTTTAAGCAGGACACAACAGACATTTTTCTTACAATATTAACAATTTACCATCTGAACTTTATCTTCTCCTTGGATAATAACCACCAGCCACTGGGTAAAGGAACAATTGATTTAAGATCTCAATCAAAGGAAAGCATTCCTCTTATCTGGATAGCCAAGCAATGGAGCAACAGTCAGCTGGGGTTAGTGTACATTTGTCAGTCCATTAAAAGCACGGGCTCCAGATCTATAGAAGAGCTGTAAGACATTTGTGGAAATGACTCTTGCAAAAGTCTTTAGTGGTTAAGTGTCTGCCATCTAAGCCTTCCCTTGATTTCCACAACGTTTACTCAAAAAGACAAGGGAAAAAAATTACACTCCCTCACTCAGAGTTTTTTCCCTTTCTCCACATGTGTGACACTCAAATCCTACTGCCACAAAACTATAAACCAGAAAAGGTCTCAAAACATGTCCAGGATAAGGCACTGTCACACAGCTGTGCCACTCCTCCAGCCTCTCCAGCGTGCTCCTTCACGCTCCCGTCCGTCTGTCCTGTCATGGCCATGGGAAGCAGTCCCTGCTCCCACCCCACATGTCCCTGGTGTCCTGCAGCACATCTCCTGCTCACGGTGCCTTTGGAGGGGGGATGTTGTCCCTGTGCTCCCGAGAGCTCAGGGGACACTGCCCAGCAGTTCCTTTGGCTTCCCAGCCTGCCAACACCTGGGCTATGGACTCCAGGCTCACCTGGCCTCGCTGCCTGCTGCTAAATGCTCAGCTGGGTTATTGCAGCCCCTGCCTGCAGCCATGCATCGCTGCTCGGGGAATGGGTGTCAATTGCTGAGCAAAGCCACTGCAGTGTCCCCTGCCCAGTGTCTGCTGTCCCTGTGGCCAGCAGCCCAGCTGTGGCACGGCCTGTGGCACAGCCAGGAGTGCAGCAGGGCAGGAGCAGCTCACGGCGTGGGATGGGCAGGCTTTGTAAACATTCCCAGAGCACCTGGTCCAGTTCCTGGGGAGCTGGAGCGTGGTGACAGAGCAGAGCAGCTGGTGACAATCTCCCGTGTTCTGCTCTCCTGTAGGACACACGGGCTGCTCCCCTAACTGGCTCTCAGGGGAAAGGGCAGAGCTCATTAATGACGGGCTGAGGTGGGGTTAATGGGTGTGCAGCACATCCCCGTGTGGAGAGAGCAGGGCTGGGGGCAGCAGGGCTGAGGAGGGTCCCAGGAGGGGCTGCAGACTCTCTGCAGGTGCCTTTGGCCCCTGGTCCCTGCAGAATGCCATTGCTGTGCAGTGAGGAGCCTCCCACGCCCAGCAAGGGCAGCAGATGCTGCATTTCTCAGCACCAGGACAGGATTTACTGCTCCCCCACAGCCCTGGGGCACGGCCCAGGGGTCAGGGGCTGCGCCAGGCTGGAGCTGGCTCACAGCTCTCCCCTCTGGAACAGAGAGGTTGGAGTTTGTGTTCTGCTGCATTCCCAATGCACTCTGCCCTGCCCAAGGCTCAGTGCTGACAGAGAGCTGCTGCTCCTGCAGCCTTCCCTGCCCTGGGAGCGTGGCTGAGCTGTGCTGGGCATCAGCTGGGACAGCCCCTGTCCCTGCAGAGCCCCCCGTGCCCCCAGACCCCCCAGAACCCTCCAGACCCCCCAGCCCCTCCGCTGGGCCGGCACCAGCTCCCCCATCTCCCCTGCAGGCTGGGCTCAGGTGCCCATAAACACTGATGGCACAGCTCAGCAGCTCCAAATACAAGGGGAAGAAATAGAGAATGGCCACAAAACATTTACTGTCAAATAAGCTCAAAGTGCTTTTATAACTGGTACTCACGTCATGAGATACTGCTGAGACACGGTGATAAACACTTCCAGCCATAAAAATGTTATGTATTTGCTTTTTAAGTCACCTCCAAGTATTTCAGTGCAGAAAACTTTTTGATAAGGTCACTGCACTGAGCTGTGGGAGCTCCTGCACCTCCTGAGCACCACCCAGGGCTCTGGTGTGATGGCTGGGCTCCAGGATCTTGGAGGTCTTTTCCAGCCTTAATGAGTTCATGATATGAGCAGGGTCACTTGAAGAGCCTTGCCAAGGTCCCCAGGACAGGCTGACAGGGTGGAAACAATCCCTGACTCCAGAGGAAACCCAAACTTGTTGGAGCCCGTTGCTGAGTGACAGCCTGGCATTGGTTAATATTCCATGGACTCCCTGCTTATCCTCCTTCCCCTCTCTCCATCCCTCTTTTTCAGCAGGGCCCACATGGACCAGAACAACTTCATGTGGTGGGTTTGGTATTTCAGGGCTTCAATCTGTTACAGGGACACCTTGGGACCAAATCCAGATGTTTTCACTCTCATCTTTCCCTTTCTGTTCCTGCCTTCCCATCTCGGCCAGATGGACCTCAGCTCCTCATCCCTTCAAGCTGTGGGCAATGAGCCAAAGGGGAACTTCTTCTTTTCTTCCATCAGCAATTTTCTACAGTAAATAAGAGAAGAAAATGGAAGACCTTGTAGGAAGTCCCAGGCTGCTGAGGCTGTTTAAATGGGTTCAGAGCTCAGGCATGAGACAGATTAATCACAAGCCAGACACGTTGAGCCAGCACAGGAGATGACATTGCAGGGCTCTGGGGGAGAAAGGATTAACTGAGGGATGGGACTGGGAAGGGAGGAAACCTGAGTGTGAACCACCAGGTACAGGAGGGCCGGGATGTGACAGCACTGAGACCATTCCACAAATAAAGCACTCTTCTTTGCATGAGCACTGAGATCTGACCCTCACGCTCCTGCAGGAAGCCACAGATGATTTATTGGCTCGTTCCCACAGCCTGCTCTGAGCTGGGGCTGAGGGAATCACTGGGCTCTGGAAGGAGCAGCAGTGGTGAGGGGTGGGCTGAAGGGACCAGCAGAGACTCCTCTCATTGTGAAATTTGTTTTTGCTCCCGTCTAATTGGAATTTCTCTCCCTGCAATTTGCTCTGTTCCCTCTTCCTTTCACCCTGCAGATCCAGGAGGGCTCTGGCTCCCGTTTCCTCCCTCTCCAAATGGAGCCAACCCCTGCTCCCAAGTTTTTCTTCCCCTCAGTGGCTCTGATCCAGCATTTCAGTGCCTTTGACAACCCAGAATTGTCCCAGAAGAGCAGCTCCGGCCTCACCAGTGGCACCTTGGGAATTATGGACTGAAATTCAAGTGCAGAGCTGGGAAATCTTCCTACATGAACTGAGCAGGGCGCAGAGAGAGGTTTGTGCTCCCTGGGAGGGATGGGATGGATGCTGGGGCTGCATCCCACGGGGCACTGGGAGCACTGGGAGCACTGGGAGCACTGGGAGCACTGGGAGCACTGGGAGCACTGGGAGCGCTGGGGGCACTGGGAGCACTTGGAGCACTGGGAGCACTGGGAGCACTGGGAGCACTGGGAGCACGGGGGGCACTGGGAGCACTGGGAGCACTGGGAGCACTGGGAGCACTGGGGCACTGGGAGCACTGGACTGGGGCTCTTTCCTCATTCCAGACTCAGGATCTGCAGTTTTTCAGTGTCACCACATCCCTGAGAGCTGTGTGTGCTCAGAACTCTTCAGAGCAGGAGGAACTTCCTGCATGGTTTGGGTTTTGCTCCCGTTGCCTAATTGCTCATAATTGTCCATCAACCAAGGACGTGTCCTGAATACTCCCCACGAGTTCCTGCACGTTCCTTTTCTCCAGAAAAGCTGCCCAGAACACAAAGTCACCCACAGCCCCAAGCACATGGATCCAGACCAGCCCCAGGGTAAATCCCACCCCAGTTTTTGGCATCTCAGCCTCACAGAACAGATGCCCAAATTAAGGAAAAAGAAAAAAAAAATTAGAACAAAACCACTGAAGGGCATTCAAAAAATAAAATTCCAGCTCCAACCAGATCTTTGCCCGACCTGGAATTTGGATTTGATGGCATTTGTGTTTTTCATCCTGTTAAGCGATGAGAAATTAAACATTTATTAATTATCTATATTCTTTAAGGAGAAAATTATTCATGTTCTTCTTGGGATGAGTTAGAGGAGCCCAAGGCTTACCTGATCTACTGAAATCTTTTCTGCAGGAGCTTTCAGGCCCTTGTTTTACTGGAATGAGCACTTCTGACCCCCATCCTGCATGGGGAGAACCCCCCTGGGCTACCCTGCAGTGAGGGGAGGTGATCACTGAAATACTGGGAATTGTGGTGGTGTCAGGGATTTTTCCTGTTGAGATCTTTGCCTGTTTAGATGGAAAATCACTGAGAAATGGCAATTCTGGAAGGATGGGTTGAAACCAAACTTTCACCTTCAAACTCCACGGTACTTTGGATTTATGAAAATTAAACCTCAGATCTGAGTGTCCCATTGGGCTCTGTCATAAAAGACAGAAATTGCTGCCTTTTGGTTGAGTCACCAACAAATGCAGGATTTGTTTAAGGAGCCCCTCCTGTTGTGCTGGAAGCAGGGAAATGGGAGCAGAGGGACAGGGAATCTCCTGTGTCCACGGCTGGGCAGGAGCCCAGGGGATGCTCAGGGGCTGGGAACTCCTCTCTTGTCTTGGCCAGGCAGTGCCGTGGGTGTCTCTGCTGCTTCTGTCCCAAAACGTTGGTTCTGATCCCAAACTGGGGACGTTTGAAAGGAAAAGGAGCCCTGGGGGATGCTCTGGGCTGGGTGTGAAGGGATTTGGTGGAACACAGATTTCCCAGAGCAGTCAGTGATGCCCTTTTATTTTGTCTGACCAAACTGAACAGAACTTGCTTTACATGAAGCTCAGAGTCACACACCAGTGCAGTGCAGAACCTGAAAAACAGAAAAGCTAAAACCTAAGGCATCATTTCTGCATGGGCACGACCAGCTCAGCTCAAACCACAGCTCAGAACCAGCTCCAAAACGCCCAAAAGAATAAGGATTAAGCCCTTACGTGATGAACATTTTGGCAAACACCCAGCCAGGATTATTTTTCCCTGGGAACCGCGTTCAGCTCTGAGTCCCTATGGCAATAACAGAGCAGCCAGCCCTGAGTCAGAGCCTGGCTGCTGGGGCTGGAACAGTTAATTAGGCTGGGTTTGGGCAGGAACAATCCCTGCTCCATCAACACCGGGACACCCAGCCCTGCCCCGCTCAGGACACATCCTACTGACCCTGCCCTGGGCAACTCCTTCCTTAATTACCCGTGCAGGGATTTCATCAGCGACTCCTGGCTATAAATTGATCCCAGGCTGCCATGGCCACACCAGGACACTGCAGGAGCATCCAGGGAGCATCCAGGGAACATCCAGGGCTGGAGTTTGCCATGAAGGTCACCCTGGTGCTCCTAGCGCTGGCAGCTCTGTGCCTGGCATGTGAGTAACTCCCCTGGAGGATTCCCTTCTGGCCAAACACTGCAAGGGTCTCAGTGTGGGAGGGAGAAAAATGGAGTTTTCTATTTTAAATCCTGTTATTTATCACTGTAATGGTTGATTAGCCAGCTGGGGCTGTGGTGGATGGAAGCTGCTCCTTGCTGGGTGTTACTCAGGGCTGTGTTCTGGCACTCAGAAGAGCTGTGATGCCTCAAAAACACCTGGTTTTGTCTATTTATTTTTAAATTTCTACCTGAGAAGGGAGCTGGGGAGGTTCTTCTCCTGCCAAACTGACCAAGCAGGGGACAGCTGATGATGCTCAGCTGGGAATCACGTCATTTTAATCTTATTTTTCCAGGCTGCAGAGAGATTTGAGGGATGGGTTGTGGTAGTGCATATTAAGGGAAGGTTACTTCATGGGTTACCCTAAAAAATAGGAATTTGTGAGGAATTTCTTCAGCCTTTATGTGGCAATTTTATTTTTACTAAAAACATGCAGTAAAAATATATTTTTAGAGAAAAAAAAGTGCATTTAAAACAGGTGAAAGACACTACACCTCTGCAGGTCGTATAGAAGTTTAAAAGCATTATGAACCTTAAAGAAAATTTTGAAACTAATTAATTAATGCAAAATTATGAAACAAAAGAATCTTTTCAGTAGCTCTGAAAAGGTTGCTTTGAAATTTGTCTGAACCCCAAAACCCTTATGAAAAACATCAGTTTAAATGAAATGTGATGGAAAGAATTCGTTCAGTGTTTCATTAACTGCAGGAAAATAAATAAATATTCCTTCCATTAGAATTCCAGGAAATCTCTTCCTTGAACTTTCTGGTTTATCTTGTCTGCTTGAAAACCTCATGCATCAACACTTTCTGAGCCACACCTTTTTTGCATTCACTCCCTGCAGAGTGGCTCCTGACAGCTTTTACCAGAGCAAAAATAACATTTGATGGTTTGGGGGGAAGTGGAATAAATCGAATCCAATTCCAGAATAATGAAATCTCAGCCAAACCTCTGGTGACAGAGATGGAAACTGGACCTGGAGCTTTATTTCTGCTCATTTTCTTTGTACTGAACCACTGGGTTTGATGTGAGGATGTGAACAGGTTTACGAAGGGAAATTTTGTGGAAGGTGTAACTTTTGAAGATCAAGAAAAGCCAAATTTATTCTGAAAGACAATTGCTAGAGCTCTGCTCCAGAACATATTTAGAAAGTTTAACCTTTAAAGATAAAAAAAAAAATCCAAATTTAATCCAAAAACCAAGTGCTAGAGCTCTGCTCCAGAACACATTCCTGCTCCTTCTGCACAGAAATCTCTCCCTGGTACCTTTCATCTCCTGGAAACCCCAGGATGATGATTATGGGACAGCAGAGGGACAAATACATTCCTAAAGCAAGTAAGAAATGTGTCAGCAGCATGGAGCCACGCCAAGGAGCTGATTACTTTGTGGGAGGTGTAATGAGCATTGTTTGGAAGGAGCTCCTGGAAGCCCCACCTGAGAGAACAGAGCTCTGCTGGAGAGAAATGTGGTAAAAATAGGAGCCAGTCATCTTCAAAGGCATATTGAAACAAGGGAAACACTTCCCAAAGCGGGGTTCTGAGCCAAATGGTGTTATCATTGTTATTTAGAGTCGATTTTGTATTTTAATCCTCATGATTGACAGAAACCTCAGCTATAAAAGGAACGTGTGGTTTGCTCACAGCCACACGCAGCTCGTGATAAACTCAGCGATTAAACCCCAGTCATGCTCGACCACCAGCTAATCCTGGACGTTAAATATAAAATAACATGATGAACATTAAATATAATATTGACTCCTGGGTTGTCAGTGGTTTTGTGGTGAACAATGGCTCCATTTCCTCCTCCAGCAAAGCTGTCAGAAGTTTCTAAGGCAAATAATGCACCAAAATCCACTTGTTCAATAAATTCTGTCACCTGGGCCTTATTAAGCACTGCAAAGCTCTGTCAGTATTGACATTTAAGGAGGTAAAAAATTCAGTGGTGCTGAGTGAAGTCATCCTGGTTTGCACCTGAGTGTTCATTAACTGTGGGTTTTTGTTTTCTCTTTTGTGATTCAGTTTCCACTGCAGATGCTGCCACAAAGGATGAGGTGAGTGATTCCCTTTTTCCTGGAGAAATAGATATAATATAATATGAGGTAAAAAATCATAATAATCAGAATAGGTCAGAAAATAAACATGTTAAACTGTAATTAAATGCTGCCAATTTATTGAGATTTCAGTGAGAAATCCTGAGTTTGGGCTATGGGGTTTCCTCAGAGTTGCCCTGACAACTTCCAGATGTTTTCACCTGTTTGGCATTCTGGACAAGAAATTGGGCAAGGACAAATTTTAAGCCAGAGAAATCTAGATTTTTAAAATAATATTTATTGACAATGACCCTATAAGGCTTTTTGGATGACTTTTAGCTGGATGACTTTTAGCTCCCAAATCAGGTACCTGGTGATTTTAATTCTCTCTGAGTACTCTGGGGTCAATGTGTGAAAGAAATGAGGCACTAAGGAATAAAAAATCCTTCCTGAGGTGAGCAGGAAAGCCCTGGCAGAATGGGGAGAGAAAATTCATCCACACACAGAGCTGGACCCACACTGGTACAAAGCAGCAGGAATTTCTGCATGGAAAAGGTTTGTACATGGGTAAGGAATTTCTGCATGGAAAGGGTTTGTCCATGGGTACAAAGCAGCAGGAATTTCTGCATGGAAAGGGTGGTCAGGCATGGAAGAGCTGCCCATGGGGGTGGTGAACTCCATCCCTGAAGCATCCAAAGAAGGCCTGGATGTGATCCCAGCTGAATTTGCTGATTGTTGTGCTCAGAGAATGAGAACTCCCAGCACTCAGCTCCTCTGGGGCTGTGTTTCTGACCCCAATCCTGCCCAGCCTGTCCCAGCAGCACCACTCCCACACTTCCCACATTTCTGGTGGGAAATGTTTCATTTTGGGGCTCTGCTAGCAGAGGTGGTGACTCCTCCCTGGCTGTGCTGCCCCACACCATGGCCCAAGCCTGCCATACCCGTGATTTCTGAGTGTGGAGGGTGTGAGGCTGAGGGCTGGCTCTGTTGCAGGTGGATTGCAGCGAGTACAAGAGGCTGGAGAGGGGGAGACCCATTTACTGCGAGAGGCTCTACCAGCCCTTCTGCGGCTCCGACGGCAAAACCTACAACAACAAATGTTCCTTCTGCAAGGCTGTGCTGTGAGTGCTCAGCTGCCAGGCACCCCTGAGGGGGGGCAAAAGCTGGGATGTGTAACTTTCCTCTAAAAAAATCCTTTTTCTGTTTCTGCTGCATCTCTTCTGTATTTTTCTTTTTATTCTTGGATTTCTCAGCCTCCTTTGGACTGAATTCTTTTGGGGTCCTCCCTGGTGGGGAGCTCTGCTTATCTCATCTCTTATGATTGGAAGAAAACACCCCAGCTCGTTAGAATCTTGTTTCTCGTGTTTATTAACAGGTGACCACAAAACTTAACAGGTCTCTCCAGGCTGGCCACACAAGGTTAATCTTTGCAATCTGGTACATTTCTTTCTTCTGATGGTACAAACAAGGCCTTGTGGCACACTTTGTGTCTGATGCACAAAATGGCCCTGAAACCCACAGTTCTTTTATCTTTATACCTATTTTTGCCCAATTAACAACAGACACCTATATTATTTTTCTTAATGACCCAATGACCCATCACCTGTGTGATGCACTGCGACATTTTCTACCCAATCACTCACTATCACCCAAAAACCTCCAGGAGAAAAACATGAAGAAGAAGGGACAAGGGACAACACCCTAAATCCTTCATCTTGTCTTCTCTAACTTCTTCACCCAGTGATTTAAAAAAACTCTCTAATCTACACACACTTTTAGCTTTTTTCATCTAACTTTAACATTTGTTTTCATGTATCACCATGAAAACGTGCTCATGAATTTTATATTATATGAAATTCAGTGTTTTTCTAGATCTTATAACTAAGTATCAGAAACAAGGGCACACACTCTGTATTCCAGACTCCAACAGGATGGGCTGAGATGCCTGGCATTTCCACCCCACAAAAGTGCTGGGGTTTTTTTAGGGTTGTTAATTCTCTGCTCCTTTTCTTTACCTTTATGTAATAATTGTTCCTCCCACTGATAATGTCCAACTGATCTAAAAAAAACAAATAGTGGTGATATTGGGGTGAGGCCTATTCTGGCAGGAAGTATAAAATAAATGACCCAGATATTCAGGTCTGAACATGCTATTCCAGCAGGAATTGTGAAGTTGGACACTAAAAAATTACTTGGATATTTGTGTGAGCAGCTCCCTATTCTGACAGGAAATGTAAAATAATAATAAATAAAAAACGACCCAAATACTTGTGTGAGCAGCTTGCAGCAGGCACTGTGAAGCTGGGCACTAAAAAATTTACTCCTATTTGTGTGAGGAACTTGCTGCAGGTACTGCAAGATTCAGTCACTAAAAAATAACCCTGATATCTGTGTGAGCAGCTTCCTATTCCAGCAGAAACTGTAAAGTTGGGTGGGGAAGGGTCCAATGAGCAACACAGGCCTGACAAAGCACCTGCACCCAGCTCAGGTCCCACAAAAATTCACAGTGGTGCTGGCAACATCTGGGGCTGATGGATAAAACACATAATTTTGCAAGGAAAGCTGTTTACAGATCAGCGCCCTCATTTCTGCTGTGAATGTTCATGGTTAGCAAAGGGGTTCAGAGGATTTTGGTGATTTTCTGTGTGCCATGTCCATTCCTTTCCTTGCAGGAGGAGCAGAGGAGCCCTGCACATGAAGCAGGTGGGAGCCTGCTGAGGGAGCTGTGCTGCCAGTGCTGAGAACAGCTCCACATTCCCTGGATTTCCTCCATCCTGCCCGTGCCAAACCCAGCCCAAGGAGAATTGCCAGCTCTGCTCTCACTGCTGCTTCTCTCTGCTCCAGAGCTGGGCTTGACGCTCCTGCCCTTGCAGCAAAGCTTGACACGAGCATTTTGTTGGAGATTTGTCTCCATGGCTGAATTTCAAATCCTCTAACAGTGCCTCAAGTCTCTTCCCCTCTCTGATTAAATGTTTTCTTTCCTTTACCCAGATATTTTTTCCCAAAGGGTTCAGCTTTCCCTGGCAGTGCTCTGATTCTCCCAGTTTTGTAGCTGAATTTTAAATGTTTATTTTTCAGCCCTCTCTGTACAATTCTGGTTCCTGTGTGTTGTTCAGCTACCCAGTGTGCTTGTTTATTAAAATAAACCTTGACTCTTTTTAATTTTTGTTCATGGTGAACTTTCTAGAGAATTTATTGCATTCATTACTAACAACTATTTCCCAAATTACAGAAAACTGTGGTGGAGCAGGGGCTGAGTCCAGAGGTAAAAATCCAAAGCCTGAGATACAGAAGTTGTATCCCACTGTGTGGCTTCATACTGGAATTTACCCCCCAGTCTGGCTCTTTATTTGCTTTAAATGAAACAAATCTGGTAAAATGTAAGACTTTAGAAGTCTGTTAAATTGTCATTTAAATATGAACATTCATTAATCTTTTCACTCCACAAATCCCAGACCCTAAAGAAATTTATGTCCTGCTCTTACATCCTTGTTACCTCCACTGTTAAACTAATTTGTGTCTTTTACTCAGTACATGGTCATGGGAGTGTATTTTCCCAGGATAAAAATTGTGACTGAATGGGAGGAAAGTTTTGGAACAGCTGGACACAGAATAAATCCAGCCCTATCCTGAATTCTGTTTATCTGGAAACCAGGTCCCAGCAGTTAGGCTGGAGCAGGAATGAAAATGAGGAAGGTAAAAGTTCCTCATGGCTCAGAGGCTTCCACCTAAAGAAGTTCCTAGAACAGATCACCTTGACTGAGAAAGATAAAAATGAGAAAACAAAGATCAAATTGAGAAAACAAAGGCAAACTCTGAGGTTTCCTCATGATGTCAGAAAATCCAGATTTGTGGATATCTGCTGCCTTCCAGCCTCAGGGGATATTCCCACCCTCTGCTTTGGTTTGTTGGGATATTTAATGGGCTGTGCCTGTGCACCAAACCTCAGACACCAAATTTTTCATGCAGCCCTAGGAGTGATTCAAAACCCTGCAAGTCAGAGGTCTAAACTCCATCCCTGCATTCCCCTGGGACTCAGTTTGTCCCAGATAATTTCTGCCATGGAATTACTGAGCAGGAATTACAGGAGCAGCTGGAGAGCAGGACTTTCCCACATGGGTGCTTTTCCTCAGCTCAAAGCTGGCAGGACACGAGAGAGGCACAGCAGCTCCTGCCACATACCAGAGCAGAGAACATCATTTGCAAATTGCTGCAAATGACTCCTGGAGAAAATGCTGAAGTGGCTGGACAGGCTGGACAGTCGAGTCTGTGGGATGGAGCAACCCCATGGAAATATGGGGAAGGGAAAATGAGCAGAGCCTGAGCTCGGATTCTGGAAGACAGAAAATAAAATATTGGTATGGAATAGGAAAACAAAACAGATCTTGCACTCAGGGAAGATTAGGGTGCAAAACTCTGAACTGGAAAGGTACTTAAATACCACTGGTGTATCTTTATATCTGATGAATTTACATGTGGAGGACAAGGAAGGGTTTTCCTGAGGTCTTACAAAACATTTTCTTCATTCTAAGCCAAGAGGTCATGAAACCCCAGCCTGGAAATCAGACAGTGGGATCTCTGCAAAAGAAAATGCCAGTGCTGGGTTAAAGCACGGCACCATCGTCAGCTGTGCTGCACCTGAGGGGGTTTGGGTACTCAGAGATGTTCTCTTCGAAGCTTTCATTTTTAAATGTTCAATTTTTGCTCCCTCTCATGTAATTAATGTCTTGTTTGGTCATCAGGAGTGTCCGAGGGCAGCTTGGATGGAGCTCTGAGCAACCTGGGACAGTGGGAGCTGTCCCTGCCCATGGTAGGGGTGGGATGGGATCTCTGAGGTTCCTTCCAATCCAAACCTTTCCATGATTATTGATCAGTTGGGATGGAAAACAGCCATTCCCTCAGAAGATAAAAGCTTAAAAACATCTCTTAGGGACGCTGCTAAGCACTGAGTTCGCGGGGTGCAAAATTCTGGCTTTTTAAATGAAGGCATTAATTCCCCCAGGCCTTTTATTTTTGATTTGATAATACCTGTGTTAGAGAACCAAGATAATTAACTCCCCCTAAAATATAAAATGTTATTATTTAATTATTAAATATAAAATTTATTATGAAATATAAACTGTGTGTGTCCAAATAGCTTCCACCAGCTGTAAATGAGAAACAAGAAATGCAATGTGCTCTTTTATTTTGCAGCTGATCAAGACCAGAACAGAATTTTTATTATGACTCTTCAGCATCTCTGATTTCTGATTGTTTTCCTTTGGCTTTTAGCTCAGATATCCTTGGGTGCCCCAAATTCCATTTTTTCCCACATATGGCAGTGGAGGGAGAAAGAAAGGGAACAATCCAAAAACCTTCAAAGATTCACATACAACCTGTGGGATAAATCACAGGGTTTCTGTTTAGGAACAAACGGGGTGGTTTGGTTTCTGTTGTCTGTCTTGTAACCACTTCACCATTCACATTCTCTGACTGTTTCAATGACACTTCAACCCCTAGGCCCTGCCCAAATTCCTGAATTCCATTTAGTGTCTCCTGTGTCCTTCAGGCGACCTTCTCTCACTGCCACCCCCTGTGTCCCCTGCCTTGGGGTGAGGGAGGGCAGGACAAGCTCTGCTGGACCTGACTCTGCTCTTCCCACAGGAAGCCTCACTTGTTTTGTTTTTGGGTCATATTTTTTGGAGGTTCTGCTGGTTTTGATGTTGTGGTGATCTCTGAGGCCTTTTCCAACCTCAGAGATGCTCTTGACACATCCAAAATCCACAAGAATTTGTTATTTCTACCCTGCCACAGAGCGTTGTGGATTCCTCTGGGATTACCACTGCTGAGTCTTTGCATGTTGTCATTCACAAAAAATAACTCACTAACAGTCTGCTGGGTGATGAACGAGCCTTGTTGCCCAATCCCTTGAGGTTTACATGAAACGTGACTTGAAAATGTTGAGGAAATGGTGATTTCTGCTGGGATCTGCCCAAACACAGTGATTAAAACATGGCTTAAGTACAGACCTGCAAATACACACGGGAGGCAGCTGGCAGGCCTTTTGGGGCCAGGGTAAAGACTCTCCAGGAAAAATCACTTGGAAAGCTCCCAGAGAGAATCCAAAGGAGGGACACGGGGATGGGAAGGGTCTGGAGAGGCCACGGAGGAGCAGCTGAGGGCGCTGGGATTGTTCAGCTGGAGGAGGCCAAGGGGGGATTTTTCAGGGTTTGCAGCCCCTGGGACAGGGACAGCAGCCAGGGAAGGGCTGGAGCTGGGCCAGGGGAGGTTTGGGTTGGATTTTGGGAAAGGTTCTTCCCCCAGAGGGTGCTGGCATTGCCCAGGCTCCCCAGGGAATGGTCCCGGCCCTGAGGCTGCCAGAGCTCCAGGAGAGCTTGGACAGCGCTCCAGGGATGGAGCTGGGATTGTTTGGGGTCTGTGCAGGGCCAGGAGCTGCCCTGGATGATCACAGAATCATGGAACGGTTTGGCTGGAAGGGACTTAAAGCGCATCCCAGCCGGGACAGCTGGCAGAGCCGAGGCTGCTCCATGCTCGTGTGTCCCTCCAGCTCGGCACATCTGTGGCTGTAACAGCGCTCTGCCCGAACGCCCTCACCGCATCCCAGCCCTGCCGCCCTGCGCTGGGCGAGCCCAGCCTGAGAACCGCAGCACCGGAGCCCTGAGCGCCCGGGCAGCCCTGAGAACCCTGAGAGCACCGAGAACCCTCGGAGCCCTGGGAGCCCTGGGAGCCCTCAGCGCCGGCCGGGCCGGGCAGTGCCGCCCTGAGGGTGGCGNCCGCTGTCACAGGCCCCGCGGGCCCCACCGTGACAGAACGGCGGTGCCGGGGCTATGGGGAAACCCATTTTTCCTTCGCTTATCTCGGCACAAATCGGCTCGGCCTCGCGTTTTCCCCTCCGCTTCGGGAGCGCCCCTCTGTACCCCGCGCCTGCCGGGCCGGCCCTCGCTGCTCTCGCTGCGTTTTTCCACAATTTTCGTTTCTGCGGAGCCTCCCCGTGGGTTTTTAAGCTCTTTAAGGTCCGTGGGGTATTCACTCATCAAGAATAGAGCGTGTCGAGCTGTTGTTTCACGCCACGTTCATTGTCGGGAATTAACTGAGGTGGGGGCCGCAAAATCTCCATTTGCTTTATTGAATATATAAAGCTTTCTTTTTGCCGTGGTTATTTGCTTTCTATTTTTAAACGGGGTCAGCTCGCTAATGTAGAATGAGGTGTCAAAGCTGTGCTCATTAGCTCAAAATAACCCCAGGAGGAGCTTTTATTGTGCAGAAACTGCAGACTCATAGGGACAAATCCTTCTTCCCCCCTTCACGGCAGGGGCGGGTTGTGCTGGTTGGAATTGTGTCTTACAGGATTTTTCCCTGCTTCGATTGTTAATATTTTTATTTCTCTTGCCTTTTGTGCCAGTCCTTTTGCCGTTCTCTTCCCTGCTGGATCGTACCCAGCGCATCGTGGCTGTGCCAGTCTGGAGGTTTTTAGCTTGTGTTGCAATCCTCTGTTCAAATGGAGTTATCCCAGGTGACTGGGAATCGATGTTTTCCCTGGAATTCAGTCTGTAAATAGTTCATTTTGGCCTGGATGAGGTTGATCACCCCAAACTGAACCCTTCCAGCCTGCCCCAAAAAGAAAAACAAACACAGGGTCTTCACTCCTGGCTGGAGAATTCCCCCAATCCAGAGGAGCAGGGATCCATTTCCCACTGCTCACAGGCACAAGGTGGGGATTTATTGTTTGAATATCCCCCTTCAAAATTAAATCATGGCAACATGCAGTTACTAACTTAAAACACACCCAGAAGGTGTGAAACGACATGATTTGCAATAATTAAATCACGGTGAAGCTGTCAATATTTAAAATTTTGGCATCATAGAGAGGCTGCAACGGAGGTTTTGCTGAAAGTTTTTCCAAAATCTGCCTTTTTTAACCAGTTGTTTTTCCTCAATCCCACTAAATTTCGGTATCCAACCTGTTAAACCCCGGTTCACTGAGCTGGTGATGCTTTGCCCTCCTCATCCTTGTTCTTGTGTTGGAATAAAATAAATCTTTGCCAGATACAGTTGTGAAAGGATCTCTCAGCATCGGTAGAAGGTGATTTCCTGTTAGCATTGAGTTCATCTTTGTTTCACTTGATTATTTCGTGATAACTCTGGGTGTTTTTACCTGAGACATTGACACGT